GAAGGCTGAAAACTTGGGTTAATGTTCCCTACCCAAGCGGGTATTAGTGGGCTCAAAGCCACCCCCCGGGGTAAGCGTGGTACCCGCGTACGAGCCCGCCAAAATTTTCTTTGGGTAAGTTCATAACTCGGGGATCTGAGAAGCTAGAAGGCTGAAATCTTAGGGTAATGTTCCCCGTCCAAGTGGGTATTAGTGGGCTTCAACCTAACCCCGGGTAAGCGTGGTACCCGCGTACGGGCCCGCCAAAATTTTTCTCGCGTAAATTGATAACTCAAGTATCTGAGAGGCTAAAGGAACGTAATTTTAAGAGGATATACCCCGTCCACCTAAGTTTCGTTCAGCTTTAACCCAGCTCTCACGTAAACATGCGCGGGCTGGTGAAAATTTTGTTCCAGTAAGTTGATTTTTTAACTCAGGTGCCAGGGAAGCAAGAAAGCTGAATTTTTAAGGGGATGCTTTCTGACGGTTCTGGCGGTCAGCCTTAATTTGTTTAGCTAGAAGCATTTGCCGAAACAACCGGTGCCGGTAGCAACAAAAACTACGGGGAACCATGCAAAAAACGCATCTTTGCACGGCAGCCCGTGCGTTAGCCAATTATAATTTCATCCTCCGCGGGCCCCTAGGTGACGCGTACGGATGCTTTAAAGAAATACGCAAGTTTTTTGGCAAGAAAGCGATCTCGGGAACCACATGAGTTAAGGGGCTGAAACTTTGTAAGGAAATTCCCTGTGCATGAACTAGCTAATGATTTCAAATTCAGCCCCCAGGCATGCGTTGTACTCATGTAAGGGCTTACGAAATTTCTGGGGGGAAGATTGATAACTCGAGTACGAGGAAAGCTAGAAAGCTGAAATTATGGAGGAATGTTCCCTATTCAAGTACAAATCAAATGTTTCAAACTCAGCCATATCCTATGCGTGGTACTCGCGTAAAGGCGCAAGAAAGTTTCTGTAGGGAAATTACTGACTCGGTAACCAGAACTGGCAGGCTAAAATTTTAAGGGGATGTTCCCCGTCCAACTGCAATTTGTACATTTCAAATCCAACTTTCTGGACGCGTGGAGTACTCAAGCAGAAGCATTTAAATGTTTTGGCGAAAAAAATTGCTAACTCGGCAACCAGAAAAGCTGAAGTTTTGGGGGAATGTTCCCTGTCCAAGTACAAGTTAAGTATTTCAAATCCAGCCTTGAGGTGTGCATGGTTCTTGCACGCGGACACTTGGAAATCTTGGCGGAAAAATCTCTCACTGAACAACGAGGCTACTTCTAAAGAACGACTGTACATTTACTTTGCAAAATTTATGATGGTTTACGCTAGTGACCGCAAATGGTAGGTGTAAAGCAACAGCCATTCATACAGTTAATGATATGAGTAATTCAAGTCCGGTGCAAAAACGCATGATCGCACGGGCCCGCCCGGTGCGTTCCAGCCTGGGTATTTTAGCATGAAAGTGAGCTGTTGGTCGGTACAATGATGCAAACCATAAGACCGATTATGCATTTATGTAATAGGGCGTTTCGGTGACCAGTCCGTAAACAAGCCTACACATCTCAGTGTTCATAAATTTTTTAAATGTTTCGACAGTAGAGCTTTTGGGTAATGCTTTACTTCGTCCTGAAATATTCAATCAAACTATACCGGAAATACGACCAAACGTAGCAAAAGTGTTTCAAAGCTAATTTCAATTTACCCAGGTGGGCTCGTAATGGTAGTCAAGACCTTGAAGTTCTGGGTCTTCAGTTGAACCCAACAGTACCAAACCAGCCCAAAACAGAGCGCGAAGCCGTTGGTCACGATTTGGCACAGTTTATGATCCGGTTATCGATTATTTGATTCCGCTTGCCAGAAATACTCGTTATTTTTTGTTCTTTCGATTATAAAAAATTTTTCCGGATTTAGTCTGAGGCCACAGATATGAGCACAGAGGAGTATGAAAAAATTTATCTGTATTTATTGTTTAGTGATATCGACAAAACAATCCGAATGAAATAGCTTCTACTAACACTTTTTGCATTTCACCTACAACCGGCTAGGAACTGCACTGGTGACTCCACATTGCATTATATATGTGCAATGGAACAGATATAAAACAGTAAAGAAACCAGCGACCTTGAAAAACGATTAAACTAGCGAGTGACTCACATCTTATTACCCAGTACTGATTGAAAAGCAAACGAGGCGATTGCTTTTGTCGACCCAACATTTTTAAGCAATACTGGTTTTTGTTCGAATCAACAATAAAATTATCATTAAAAAGCCAAAGTGGGCTGTTGGATCGACAAAAACAGACAACCGGTGTATCTTGCAGTTTGATGAACCGAATGAAAGAACTTTACAGGGAGAACATAATCCGAGGTAGGATTTTCTAGGAGAGACGCAGTTTACAGGAACGAACCGTTTAACAGGCGAAATTTCCAGCAAGTTCACCTGCTACTAGTGCATAAAATGCACGGAAAATTCAGTTCTTACTTCATCTAACTCATTCTGGCATGCCTCCAGGCCAGTCCTCTGCGATCTCCGATGTTTTAAATCGTACCAGCCAAAACGAGACTCGACTGGCGTAAATGACGAGAACATTTCTTAATCATGTAGTAGACCGGGGTCATCTGGACACATGAATAGACCAGGCAATAATGTTGAGTGCGATCCACAGAGGAGAAGCCAGTAATGTAAAAATCCGGACGAACGATTGCTAGGAAAGTACATTTAGGTCAGCGAGACATTTTGGAAAAGAATTGGTATTGTTGCAAAGTCTGGCAGGAATAAGCAAACTTGCACAATTAGAAATAAGCAAGCATGGAAAGTTGCAGATTCCAGGAGTTACAATCAGGATTAAGTGCATAATAAAGCTTTCCACAAGACATAAAGCAAAAGGAAAATGAGCGTTGAGCTACATATTAGTTATTAGCTTTAGTTCCCAGAAAAACTGATTATAAAGCCCCGTCCAAAAGTAAGAAGAAAGTATCTATCTCACCGGTTTTAATTGCCCTATTTCAAGGCACACACGCGCCTTAATTACGAAAATGACTTTTATTCAGTACCTGCATCATCAGACTTACCAGCTTCCTGCTGTTTTTTTTTTTTCTTTTTTTAATTCT